CCCAAACTGACCAAAGAGGTATTCCATACCACAGCACGTCATGCCCAGGGTGTAACTGGGAGTTACCTGGAAGGGCTAGAGGACCTGCAGGGTTGGAGGAGGTATCAGTCAGTGCTTGGTCAGGCTGGGGTGCGAGTTCTCGTTCGGCTGGTGATGAGGTGTTGTATTCTCTTCCCTTGTTATTTCCTTTATCATTACTATTATTGGTGGTAGCAGTAGTGATTTGTGTTATACCTTAGTTACTAAACTGTTCTTATCTCAACCCGTGGCAGTTGCATTCTTTCTGATTCTCCTCTCCATCCCTCCAGGAGTAGGGGGAGGGCAAGAAGGGGGGGGAGTGAGTGAACAAGCTGTCTGGCGGGGGTTAAACCACAACTGTTAAAAATTCCCCAAGTTCAATGAAATATTCACATCGAATGTCTGGGTATTTATCAATGGGCAAAGGTGGAGTCTTGAGGAGTGGGGAGTCTTCAGCCCAGGTGTTATCTTCAGCTTTCAGTAACAGTGGTACTATTACTGCAGACTTGAGGGTTTGTGAGCTCCGAGATGCATCCCACTCAGAGGGAGATGCTGGTCACAGTCCACTGCACATCAGGACTGCTCAAAAGGCCTCACTTAGGACCTGTAATTGTGGCCCACAGCATGACTGGCTTTAGCCATTAGAAAATTTCCATCCTGGCCACAACCCAAGTCGTTAACCACTAGAAAATTTTCAAAGCTCCACTAACAATGGTACCATTCCAGTTGGGCTGCAATCAAGGGAAGGAATGTTCTGAGGCTGTCACAGGATGACTGATTATCTCCATTATTGCTTCCCACCTTAGCCAGGGAACAGGAGTCCCTGGTACAGTCAGTCCCTCCCTTCTTAACCATGCAAGAGTTCCTGGTACAGTTCAAGGAACACTTTACCTCCCAACTCACTGCACAGATGCCAAGGCCTGACAGCAATTCCTGAGATTGTAGAGTAACTGAGATCAGAGGGGTGTGGAGAATGCAACCCTACAGCATCAAGTCACTGACCTTAGAGTTCATGTACAGGAATTAATTCCATTCAAATGAACCAACTGGGTATTGTTGTAAGTACTGTATATTAGAGAAAAGAATGAAGACCAAACACCCTAGGAGGGACTTATTTACATACACACTGAACATTGTGTAAATTTCCTCTTTTTGCATACAGACTGAACATTGGAGTGAAGGATTACCCTAAAGCTGATCATGTTCACCAATGACACTTTTAATGGTCAACATGTTAGAAGAAATCTTATTACTCATGTTATATTGTGATAGATCATGCTATACTCAATACTTCTTTGAAGTCTTTACTTTCACTGGTTTGAACACAGCATTCTTCATGACTAAAGAAGTTTATTGAAGATAAAAGTGTCCCCTTTATGATCTCAGGCTTCATACCTGACAAAGCATGGGGATTGTAACTATAGCCACCTTATTCACCAATGAATTATCTCAGAGGGAAATTCAGATCATAAACATACTCTATGGCCTTCTGAATGTCCCTATCTTTCTCCACTAAGTAGGTATGGTACAAAGAAATCTTGTTTACTTACTAAGCCCTAAGCCAGGAAGGATGAATCGAAGCCAAAACCAAGATAAATTCCAAACTACTGCCCTGGAGTCCCTTACAAAACATGTTTGCATTACTATATCTCCTTCACCCACCCAACTGCAACTACAAACTTTCCTGACAGTGTAGGCTACACAACAAAAAGCTTTAAAAAAGTTTCATAAATAATATTAGTTTATTAAAGTACATACCAACAGCCATGTAATATATGTCACAAACATGGAACAGTCACCCTTCTCACTTTTCTACCCCAAGATTCACATGGGTTGGTCATACAAGTGAGACCCAGACATCCCAGTATGTCAATTTCAACAGTTCTTTTAACTTGCTTCCCCTCTGAGACAGAGATGGGGATTACACAAGTACAGCCCTTGGTCATGAAATGCATCCCCAGTTTGGAAATCATACTGGGGCTCTTTGTGAGTCACATGTGGCCCAGGAGTCATTGTAGCCATGTGCTATTCTGTAAATGCAACAGCTGTAATGGACATAGAGAAGTTAAGTAAAAACACATTTACTATACTTTCTAGGCTTTTCTTTTCCCAACTGAGATGGAAGCATCATTGGCTGCAGCCCAACAGCAGTAAAACTATTCAACTTCCAACCTCACTAAAAAGAACTGTCAAAACGGTATTAAGTAAATAGTGAATGCCCGACCCTGTGAGAGGAAACAAAAAGTAGTTCACAGATATATGACTGACTTTATTGACAACTGTGGGATTCGCAATACCCTGACTTCAGGGTCTCAAGAGTGATAAATAGGCAGTCAGAGTGCACTGTTTGGGTATGAAAGAATAAAGAATATGCTGGGGGGGGAGGGAACAATTTCATTTCAATGAAAGAAGAGTCAACTGACCTGCATAAGCATGCAAGTGTTATATCACTGGGAATCAGAAACTGGAACCCAAAATGGGAACAAAAAATGAGGCTGGATCTCTAAAGAGAGCCAATAGTTCAAGAGACATTTAAGATTTGGCCCTATATAATTCTTTAAAAAGTAAATGAGCTGCACTGTGTCCAAATGAACTGTCAAACCCTATGCTGAACAACGTCACCTACAAATATTCCTTTACCAAATGTCTTTCAGATTTAAGCCATGACCTTCACCCCAGTATTATCACCTTGATCTCCAATACCTTTGTGCAACTTTTAAGAATCCCAGCCCCTCATTTCCTTCTCTTCCCCAGCCTTTCCTTCTCTTCCTCAACCCCATGCACCTTATTCTCCCAGTTCTGTCTTGCCCCACGCATTTATCTGGGATACCAGCCACATGGTACCTAGACCATGTCAGCTTTCCACTGCTCAGGGTATCACCCATCAGTGGATGGATGGTGCTGGATGGGCAGGGCAGCAAGGGCCTGCAGGAGACAGATGAAGAATTCATTCCTCACTGGCCAGAGCAAGAAAGTGTATCAAAAATCTCCCTGGAGGAGTAGGGACAAGAACAAAACCACAAGAAAGATGGAGGCCATAAAGAGGCACTCCAGTCCTCCTACGGCAAAACCTTTCCAAGGAAGCACCGACATTTACAAGGAACTGCTGATGGATATTACATGGATGTAGGAAGACTGATGTTTGTCTGTGTTACAGAAGAGAGTCCTTGGGGATAAAACCATTTTTCCTTTCTTCCAGAATTTTACATCTTTAGCTAACACCACTAGAAACTGAATAATCAAGAACAAATCCATTTTATTAGCCAGATGTGCAACTTTCATTCTTGGCAGCTGGCAGCTGAGAACTTGTAAATGTGCATTCACCTACTTCATTTCTAAGCAACATCATTGCCAACTAGCAAATTTGCCCTGACACTCAGTAATTTCTTTTGTCCATCTTCCCACATCTCTACCTCAACAATCATTGCAATTTGTTAATTGTTTTTGTTTTGTTTTTCTTTTCTATTCTTTTAACCATCAGGAAGCTGCTTTCAGAAAGCCATCTGCACTTACTCACTGCCAACACTCAATATGATTTTAATAAGCCTTGTGTGGTTTTGACTTTAACACTTGTTTCCCTGTGCATAAAAGCCTATTTCCTTAGCTGTCACATAGTTTGTCACTTCAATAAAGTTTCCCAGTTGCCTTCTAAGCAGGCCAATTTTTACCCTTTTTTTCTTAAACAACAAGTTAAATCTGAGGATAACAACACTGATAATAATCCAAACCAGCCACTATCCATTTCTTTGAGCATGAGTTTCCCCAAACTAGAATGCTTCAGAATAGGTGCAGATACCTATAGAAATACTTACATTTTGAAAAACTACAGCAATAGTACCTCAGGGTTCAATAGCTGCATGTCTGAATGACTTCAGGATGAAATAGGCTCCTTTCACAAAGTGTTTTAATGAACTTCCATCTCTACAAAACTCACCTGGGACTGGAAATAAAGCCTAGTTCTTTTCTTGCTCTCATACCATCACTAGCAGTGATAATTCTCAAGAGAGGGATTTCTCTAAAGCTGATGATAGATGTCAGGAGGGACATCTGGGTGTTCTCTTTGCTCTCCTGAGCAATCGCAATCACCATTAATAACAGCAATAACAGAGAAGTAAAAGTTAATTAATGCCATAATTTTGGTGCTGTTTGACAAGGAAGATGGAGCTGCTCTAACAGCTTTTCATTGTTGGTTTTTCTAGGCTCTTCTGCTCTTCCACACATCTCTTGTACCAAGGCTGATGTTTCCCTACCCCCTCAGTGAGACAGCTTACTCACCCTCCTGGCTAGAAGGCAATCTGTGGAGAATAAAGATCTGCCATCTTGGCAAGCTGCACTGCCTTACAGGTAAGTGAGATGACCCCAAGGGAATGAGAGAGACTGTGCTACTGGAAAACAGGAGGTGAGAAGGAGATGGGAAAAGGAAAAGAATAAGAAATTATAGGAAACAACACGAAGACACTTTAAGCAAATTGCTAGGTAATGCATCTCAGTGCAGCCTTAGTTCTTTCCCCCAGCCTCCGGGTTTTGCTTTCATACTGTGCTTATTGTAAACTGCTTTGGTCAAGGACTATATGTTGTTAGATATACTCAGAAGATAATATTTTCCAGTGAGTAAGTCCTAGAGCTGGAGGCAGGAGACCTGTTTGTTACTCCTACTTTGGACCTTCTGCCCCCCTTGCAAGACACAAAACAAATCATTCAATTTTCTCATGCTTCTGTTTTCCCCATGTTTATGTTGATTATTTAAACCTGAGGTCTCCCAGGCAGATACTGGAACAATGAAAACCTGATCCTTGATTGTTAGCACGGAACCAAGGTGCTAATAAGTACACGGTACTTGCAAGTAGTACAAACAAACAACAGCAATTCAGAGGACAGAACAAGCCCTGCATTTAACAATGAATTCATAATTTTAACAATACAGGAATAAAAAAAAAAATCAAATTACTTTTCTGTACCTGCGAAAGCTTTGCAGCAGAAACAGGGAGAAGGCTATGGTTAAAATTCTTAATCCCCAGAGCAAACATCAAACAGGTACCATATTTCATATTTTCATATATACTTTTCAACCCAGAGCGCAACTTTAATCAGAAAGATTTTATAGTCCAGAGCTTCCTGCAAACCTCTGCTTAATGTAAATTTTAATACCTTTGGCATATTTTGGCTTCTAGCCTATTATTCACTTGATGCACCTCAAGCAGGTTTTAAATCATGTTGTTAAAAGAAACCCAAAAAACTATTTCAGATGTAGTAGAGAGTAAAATGATTTTGTAAAACAACATTGCAGGAGCCTGCAGTTACTATTGATATTATTTGGTTCTAAGATGTGTTCAGTTTATAGGTAGAATGGTGGCTGGTTAAAATGATGGCTGGTTGCTTTTACTAGGGCGACTTTGGTCTTGCTCATCACAGACCTGGAGAATCAGGAAGTACTTACGTATTATTTTTACAGCAGGTCTGCAATAAGGAAGGGGCGTAAATGACGCTTTTAAGCTGAATCTTTCCAGAAGACTGTTTTACAGGGAATTCATGTGAAAAAGAGACAAACTGGCCCAACTGGTGGGGCACTGACTCTTACCATAAGAAAAGGGAGACAAAACTGGGGGAAAACAGAAGAAAGAAACCTCTTAAAATTGTTTGTCACCAAGATAAGATGCATCCCCAGTCAAAACTTGTTCTTCCTCTGCTTTAGGCTCAGACCCTGGCCTTTCTCTCATAAATAATTATATATTGGGCATTGAATCTCTGATACTGAAAGGCAATACTTTTAATGTGTGAGAATGGAAACAAAGTACTGAATAATGAGGATTTTCTGGTGTTTCTCTAGTTTTGCAATTAGATTGCTACTGCATGCACCTTGTCATAGGTTTAATTTAGAAACAAGATGAGTAAATCTGCTAATAAGTAGCTAAAGGGAATGAGCTCCTGTATCTCCCCCACAATACAGATTGTAAATGAAGAAACACAAGGGACATTCTGCTGTGTGTTGGCTTTGCAATGCGCCACGTATCACAGATCAGCTGATGGATGGTGCTGGATGGGCAGGGCAGGAATGGCTGTCAGTGGGCAGGCAAACAATATTTACCTTGCTTGCCTAAGCAAAAGTCTCCCTGAAGGAGGAGGAACAAAAACCACACAAGAAAGCTGAAGGCCACTAACTGGGCATTTTAATCCTCTTATGGCAAAAGGAAGCACTGAAATTTACGTTGAGTTGCTCACAAGTATCTCTCATGCTACACACATGTGGGAGGATTCATGTTGGTCTGCTTTAACAGAACAAAATAATTAGGGATAAGAACTTTTTCCCATTTTTTCAGATGTTTTACATGCATAGCTATCACTGTTAGAAAAATACAAATAATGTATTTATTTTAAACCAGACCAGCTACTTGGCCCTAGGGATATGGTGGTCAGTTGGATAACCACTTAGGTAACTGGTGTAGATTCCCAAATCCATTCATGTTGAGCTAAATAAACCCCTGCCTTGTTTGATGGGCTAATCTACCCCATTTTCAATTTGTAAAGGTTATATCTAAATCCCCATGTAGGATTAAGATCACAGTTATGGTTTCATGACACAGAACAGTTCTGTAGCATCATGATTAAGACAGTTGTAGCCTCACAGGCCTTGTCACATGCACTGCGTTGTTCTATGGGACCATGCTGTAACTGAACAAAAACCAAGGCTAGCATTAAAAGAAAAACCAAAACAAAACAGACCAAACAAATAAACAAAACCCTGCAAAAAAAGGGGGGTTTGTTGCACTTTTTTAGTTCTTGGTTTAGTGAACATTCAAATTTATGTTTATTAAATTAGTCACCTCAAGATCCTTTAACAGCCTATACAAAGAAACTGGCATTTCTAGGATGCACGTCATCTCTTTGTAATGTAGATGTAACCTAAAATAAAGCAGACGAATCAGGCGCTGAAAGTGCATATTTCTCTCCATTGGCTATAACAGGAGCACCGGCTGCGTAGCTCAGATGGAGACGCCTACGCTCTGCATGTCTAAAGATAGGTGAGATAAATCCTGCCATACATCTGTTGCTGTTCCTCATATGGAGTTCCCCTCTTTGTTGGTCTTATGTGTGAGGTTTCAGTATAACCTGAAATGTTTGTGACTGTGTAGGTGAGACATACAAATATACATGCAGTTTCTCTTGATCTCCGTCTGCAAAAACAGGGGCTTGGGGCATAGGGACACTTTCTCTAGCGGCATAGTCAGTTTCTGAAGTCTGCATCTCTTGTGCTGAATGCAGACGTTTGTCAGTCAAACTATTTTGAAGTAGTGTTGTAGTGCTGAAAAACTCACTTCCGAGTAGGATGGTGGGTGAAGTGTTTTGGGGATGTCAGGAGAGCACTCCCGCTATTGTCAGACACAGAGCTTGTTCTGCTGTGACTGCTGCCTGGCAATTCAAGCTGTGAGTAGATGATATATTCCTGCCTTTTTGAATCATGTTCCTCCAGCTGCCCAGACCAGGGCCTGGGGAAGGATATCCCTGCAGCTCCTCTGCCACACACAGATGGCTAACAGCATCATCATTGCCCCAACATGGAGCAGGGATGTGGCTCAGGCCTGGGGAGCTGAGAGTTCCCAAATCTCTAATGATTCCCTTTTACAGGGAACTTTACCAGACTTGTTTCTTGATTCACGGAAAAATGCTGAGACCTTCCTCTCTACCACTTCCCAGAAAATGAGTGTTAGTGGCCTCCTTCAATGCCTCAAATGTTGTTAGCATTGCTTAATACAAGCATAGCTTTCTCTTTCCTTCCTATCTTTGTGTAAGCATCAGTGTGGTAGGAACATGCTACTTTCCAGGAAATCCGGAATATGTTCAAAATTAATTAGAAATAGGGAAGGGAAAGAAGGGAATTTGAAACCACAGAAACCAATGGCTTTTATTAGAATCTGAAATGTGGCAACACATTAGAGCACGTCTCAGCTTTGTACTTCAAAAAATGCACCGTCTCTACCAGGAATGCAGCTTTCTTGTAGTTTTTGCTATCGATCTTCTAATACTAGCAGACTTCCAAAATCTCCTGCTGTTACTTGAAAATCTGAGGCTGTAAAGCACTGCACTCTATTCTCCCTCTCTTCTCAATTTCATATCCTGGCTCTGTCCCCAGACTGATCAAGAGTTAAGCATCCAGCGCTCAGTCTCTTTTAGTTACATTGCTGTAGCTGTGGTTCATGGCTTGTTAGCTGGTGCTGGCAGCAAAACAAGGTAGCCCTAACAGGTTTTCGTACGTCTTTCTCTTCCCCACAAAACTGGAAAGTTTCCCTGTATTTCTTCATCAGGTTCATGCCTGTGATCAGTGCCCAACTTTCTATTAATACCTCTCAGTTTCTCTTACAAAGCTTTGGTAGTGGCTCACACACATTGAAAAGGGGCATTTTTGTCTTTGTGGAATACCCTACAGATCAATATTAACTCCTGCTGTTTGTTTTGGTTTTTTTTGCAGACTAATGAATACTTTTTCCACGAGTAACGTGGGAGCATTTCCATAGTCCCGACATAACATATTTTTATTCCAAGTCTGTAGTAGCTCACCCCACAGGGACAATGTTTCTTCAGGTTACTAGAAATCTTTCTACAGAATGTTAATGTTGATTGAATTGTTTCCTTTTTTAATTTGCTCTTACATTTTCTAGCTACTCACTTCCGATACTCAATTAACTGCATGGCCTTCACTGGTCAGTGTTAACCTTTTTTTAGGTAATAACATATATTTTTTTCCATATTTTCTGCTGATTTCTATTCTTCCTGCACTGCTGTTTACTGCAACCAGGACATGAGTTTGTTAACATAAATGATAACTTAATAAGGTAATACAGTATTTCCCACTATTGTGACAGACACCATTTGGCTATTCTGGGTAAACAGCTTGAAGTTGTCATTCGGTGTTTACTAAAGCATATGTAAAAGCCAAGAAAGCCTGAACAAAACTGCTATTTTCCAGGCTACCAAAGAGGTGAATAGCTGGGAGTGGCAGCTGCCCTCATGGCTAGTATGTTATTTGGTCTGCTTGCCCATTAAGAGGCCATTTCTGACCCACAAAGAGTCCTGCAAGGTTCTGAATTCTCTCTGGGAAAAAAAATGAATTAAGAATTTATTACAAAAATAACACAATTGCATGTTTTCTAGGGAACCTTCTCCTTTCTCCTTGCAAAAGCTAGGTATATCTTGAAGCATAAAGTCGCTCACTAAGTGGATGTTTTCATCTCACATACTCAGCTGTGTATATGCTTAAATCATATGTAACCTGTTATTTACATGTTATATCAAGCTCTTTGCTCTCTGGGGCAAGCAAAGCAAAAGATGATGTTTTAGAAGACATTACAATACATGTAGCTGCCACATACATGCCATCCAGAGTGACTCAGACAAGCTCATGGGGTGGGTCCATGAGAACCTTATGAGGTTTCAACAAGGCCAAGTGCAAGGTCGTGCATCTCGACTGGGGCAACCCCCAGCATCAGTGCAGGCTGGGGAATGAAGGGATTGAGAGTACCTCAGAGAAGAAGGAGTTTGGGATGCTGGATGAAAGCTTGGACATGAGCTGTCAATGTGCGCTTGCAGCCCACAAGGACAATCGTATCTTGGGCTGTATCAGTGCATCAAGCTCTGGAGTCCTCAGTACCGGAAAGATATGGACCTGTTGGAGAGGGTCCAGAGGAGGTCCACAGAAGTGATCACAGGGATGGAGCTCCTATCCTGTGAGGAACAACTGAGAGAGATGCTGTTGTTCAGCCTGAAGAAGAGAAGATTCTGGGGAGCCCTTATTACAGCCTTTCGGTTCTTTAAAAGAAAGATGTGGAAAGACTTAGCAGGTCCTGTTGTGACAGGATGAGGGGTGATGGTTTTAAACTAAAAGAGGGGAGATTCAGGCTGGATGTGTGGAAGAAATTTCTTACAGTAAGAGTGGTGAAGCGCTGGAGCAGGTTGCCCAGAGAGGTGGTAGATGCACCATCCCTGGAGACATTCAAGGCCAGGCTGGATGTGGTTCTAGGCAACCTGATCTAGTTGAAGAT